TTAATATGTGGTTAAAAATGCTTAATATTTGCTTAATATTAGTTTAAGTAGGTGTTGTACAAGCAGTGATACTGGAAGTATCATCTGCTAAAAAGGAAATGGGGAAATTTAGTTCTACTCATGCACGTTGGATTTCTTTTATCAGTTAATTATAAAATCGCGATACAGTACATTAAATGTCATACAATTTTAGTTTCCCAATTCAGAATGCGAAATCTCTGAATTTGTTGACTCTTTTTTGTGTCCTTGGAAGACTCTGCTCTGGTCGCCAGTGTCGCGCCCGCCCAGACGCTGCTGCGCTCTTTTCTCGCGGGGTACTTTGCCGTGTCGCCTCGACAACAACTATCAGCGGTCCACCGCCCGTGTCTCCTGATCCCCTGGAGAGCCCTTCATTTTTCTCTCCACATTATTTTTCCCTTTTTCCCCGTCTTATTTTTCCTTTTCGTTCCTTGTGAGCGGCGGACTTGACCTCGGGCCTGAGCCCTTATATAGGGTTGTCAGGTCACATGGGGCTTGCCACATCCACACTTGAAGTCTGTGGGCGTGGCGTGGCGCGGGGGCGGCGCGCCGGGTCTCGGATGTCGGAGCGAGCGAGCGGGCGGGGAAAGGGGGAGAAGGGAGGGGGGCTCCAGTAAGTGAGAACAAGTTATCCCAGCCTGGCCTCGGCCGCCTGCCCTCCGCGAAAGAGGAAAGTAACGTAGTGATGTGAGGAGAGAAAGGCGAGTTGATCTCAACGATTGGTGTCGAATTTCTCTCCCCGCCCGGCTGCGCGGCGCGTCCGGCTTCCGGTTGCTGTTCACCGTCTTCCTCTTCGGAGAGGCCGAGGTCGCTCGTCGCGCACCTTAATCCCGACACAACACGGGGGGAGCTCATAAATAAATCGGGCGCCAACACAATCGTGTGCGTGTGTGCACAGGACAACAAATTTGTACCGAGAGCGAGCACCGCCTCCCGTATCTCATGAAAGGGAATGTGAATTCTCTCGCTCCTTCCTGGTCCTTCCGGTGCGGGCGCCCCTTCGGCAAACAGCCTTCAAATGAAGAAGGGCCGAGTCATCACGACGAGTGTATTTACCTTGAGCATGCAACGAGCCGTGCATGTATAGGCGGCGGTAGCGGGGGCGGCGCCTTGAGAGACGAAACGTTCGGATGGATGGCGAGGGAGCCCGGCTCCGGCTGCTGGAGGCGGTGCGAAGAGGTGGACAGGGTAGATAGACGGGCCCCACCTCGCACCGGTGCGGAGCGTGTGGTCTATCCTCTGGTCGGCGGGCGCTCCGCCTGCCTGGTCGCAGACAGACAGACAGACAGACAGACAGACGGGCTCCAGGTGAGACGGGGCTGGCGCGCGGCCAGGGCTAGCCGCGCAGTACCGTTTAGTGCAGCGCCGGCCGCGCCAGACAGTTTTAAAAGTACAATGCAATTAGCGCAGAACACGCGAGACAAGTCTCCGCCTGATAATAATACTCGTGCTGTGCTCCGCTTTCCCTTTTCTTTCCTTTTGTGCATTCTTTTCTTCCTCTTTCATTACTTTTTCTTTTTATTTCGCGTCGCTTTCTCTCCTCTGTGACGCGCCCCGTGACCAGGGTCCGCTGGTCAGTGCAGCTCGAATAGTGACCAGAGGCCAGAGGGCCAGAGGAAGCAGGTGGAGTGTGGGTCAGGGTAATGAAACAATACACAGAGTGAAAGAATTATGTCGGAATTGCATTTCAATATTTTTCTATTCATTATCTTTCATTTTGTTCAAGAGTGTCAAGCAGTGTTAGCCTCTCCCACCCTCTGCGTCTGGTGAAGAGGCGTGCTGCAGCAAGGCGGACTAGGCCAGTCCCTAGCCGGGCAAGAGTAAAGACTATGGAGGATTGCAAGCGAGTTTGGTCCGGTAATTGCCAATGCCCCCCCCCCCC